CCCCTGTTTTTATCCTTCTTCTTCTCTACTCCCTGCTGTATGCCTCAACTCTTTGGTAAGCTTGCAAGTTTTGTCTTTTTCCTATCCCTTTGTTTAGTTTCTCTGTATTCCACCTATAGGTGTAACCATTCGATATTTATCTTTTTCCTTCTGATTTATGTTGCTTAACATTATCCCTTCCAGCTCCATCTATGTTGTTGGAAATGGCACAAGTTTATCTTTTTTGATCACTGAGTAGTATTCTCCTGTGTATGTATACCACATATTTTGATCCATTCCTCTGTTTGGGGGCATTTAGCTTGTTTCCATAACTTGGATGTTGTAAATAGATGTGTACTAACCATAGGCATGCAGGATTCCTTTCCAATTAGTGTTTTTGTGTTTTTTGAGTAGGGTCCCAGCAGTGGAATTACTGGATCACATGGATCACATATTTTGCCTCCACACAGCTTTCCATTGTGGCTGGACCAGTTTGCATTCCTACCAGCAGAATAAGAACCTTCCTTTTTCTCCAAATCCTCACCAGCATTTGTTGTTTCTAGATTTTTAAATATGGGTCATTCTTACAGGTATGAGGTAGCATCTTATTGTGGTTTTGATTTGCATTTTCCTGATAATAAGTGATACTGAACATTTTTTCATATGCCTGTTGGCCATTTGCATTTCTTTTTTGGAGAAGTATCTTTTTAGGTCTTCTGCCCATTTTTTGATTGTGCTGTTTGCTTTATTTTTATTGAGTTGTGTAAGCTTTTTGTAGATCTTTGATATCAGTCCCTTATCAGTTGTATGGTATGCAAATATTTTCTGCCATTAATAGGTGTCTTTTCATTTTGGTTGTACATACACTTTTTTCTTTAGTTTTATATTTTTTTACATCATTTTTCATTTTTGTACAATGTATGCATTTTCGTTTTGGTTATAGTTCCCATACAATTCCCACCTCCCCTTATTTTGACTGTAATCCCTCCTATTCCCTTCCCTCCCGCAGTGTGTCTCTGGTTTATAGTTGCTTGTTGCTTGTTGGTTTTGATTTTTACTTTATTATAATTAGTCTTTTTCCTGGTCCCTTATTTAGGTTTTCTAGATTCCTGCTATGAGTGAGACCATCCGGTATTTTTCTTTTTCTTTCTGCCTTATTTCGCTGAGCATGATCCCTTCCAGCTCCATCCATGTTGCTGCAAATTGCATGAGTTTATCTTTTTTGATTGCTGAGTAATATTTCATTGTGTATATGTACATAAGCTTCTTATTTTGATATAGCCCCAGCTGTTTATCTTCTCCTTTATTTTCCTTGCTTCTGGGGATGAATCCTCAAAGATATTTCTGAGGTTTATGTCTTTCAGTGTTTTGCCTCTGTTTTCGTCTATTCATTTTATGGTTTCAGGTCTTACATTCAAGTCTTTTATCATTTTGAGTTGATTTTTATGTATACACCCCAACTCTTTGCTTAGTGCCACAGAAAATGTGCTAACTATTTGAGGTAGCTCCCATGAAAAATGAAAATGTACATAAACTAGACCAAAATGAGAAAGAAAACTTAAAATAGATTCTGTCCCAATGGAAACATTAAACATGAGGTAAAACAAACACATTCAGAGACTTATATACAATCAAAATAACTGTAGCTTCTGGACTTGAGAAATATAATCTCATTGGGAGCAAAAGTTAATGGTTTGTTACACTATCTTCATCTGAACTAGGACATCCTGGACATAAGTTTTGATAAATGCAATCTGACTAATTTAAAATTGATTTTAAAATCTTGCTATTTCATCTTCACAAATTGAAAAGCAGGTTTGCTTATACTGGTAGCCTTTTATGGTACTTGAGTAGTGGTCTGACTACTTTTGGAAATGAATAATGGATTAAAAGTACACTTTGCAGTTTACATTAGTTACTTTTATAATGCAAAATAGAAGCATGATAATGTACTATTCAGCATGCTTTAATATGATTTATACATAGCTACACAGCATAAGTAATTCATTATGCCCTTCACAGTACATTTCCTGAGTACAGAAGCTCATGTTTACCAGTATTTCATCTTATAATCAGTTTGCCTAATAGAGGGAGTCTGGGACCATGAGTAAGGAGTCTGCACTCTGCTTGGCACCTGACTCATCTAATGACCACAGGCAATACACTTCTGGGTCTGAGGTCGGGTGTTTAAGGGGGTGAGTGCATAGTACCTTATGGATTCAGCTCAGAGGAAGGGTCTGTGGACTAATTACTTTAAGACTGTAAATAAATGGCTTTAAATTCTAGAATAAAATAGACTTCACAGTAGAATTATTATTATTCCAGGAATTATCCTACTTTTGGAAATAACACACTGCAATGGTCATTTAATCAGACAACAGTTCTTTGGTGTGCATTTGGAAATAAATCCTCTACTGTTTCATAAACAGCACATTGTCACATATTGTATTTTTCTATTTGCAAAGTATGGATTTACTGGTCAGAATAAATGACAGCTCTCCAAGTCTGCTGTCTTTAAAGCCACTGCATTCCATTTTTGGAACGTATACAGATTTGACTGAAGGTTGGGCACTGGAAGTGGGGGAGAGACTCTAAGAAGTGGACCTACCCCTAACATTTGTGGGGCCTGGAATAAGAGTATAAATGAAAGTCCACATACCGTATGTTTAAATATTTAAATGGCATAGATCAAGCTAACAGACTGTTAAATAAAATATGTTCTATTCTTTTACCTTGACCAATTTTTCTTTATAATGATCTGGATGGTCAGGTTGGAATTTGAGATTTCTCTGAAGGTCCCAGAAAATTTATAAATCACATTTCTTTCTCTTTTCCCCTATTGACTGATATCAGTATGATATAACCTACAGTCTCTAGAGCAGAATTTGAAAATACACATCCTTAAGGTATGTTTCAAGCACTGTACCTATTTATGATATGCAAATGATGCTTCATTTTTTGAGAATGCTGATGACTGTCTCTATGAAGTGGGAATCTATTAGAATAACTGAAACTTCAAAATAGTGAGATCTGTGGCAGTGATAAATACTTTGACACAATTTGATTTCTTTGACAATCTACATTTTGACCTGGTCTATTTAAATTCTGCTGGGAACATAATTTTCACATCAAACTTCTATTGTGAATTGTAGAATGAATAAAATATGCAGGTTTTGCACACAAACTTTATTTTTTGCCTGACACATAAACCATTATTTTAGATTCAAAGAAATCTATTGGTCAAATAGGTCTAATAATGGGAATGATATAATAGAAACATTTATATCCTTAAAGAATGCACCTTAAGCAGTTTTATTTTATAGCCTATATTTTTATTTTTGCTTGGGTATACAATTCTTGTTTGTCAAGACTCCACTTTCTTTGTTAAAATGTAAAATGCATATTGGGCAAATGCTCCAGGGCAATTTGCATAAAAAGTGATGACAAAGAGCAATTAGTACTTCATTATTATGCAGTGAAATGCTACTTTGCTCAAAAGTGACTGTAGTTTCTCCCCCCCAACCCCCTTATAAATCTGGTACAGCATTGTTCTAAAAATAGTACTTAAGAAACCTCTGTTTGTAAATCAGTGTCTTTGACTTCCCACTAGAAATTCAAGGAGGGAAAATGCAAGCACTAAATAAAGTTATTACCCCAGATCTTTGTAATGAATAACAAGCTCCAGAATTCTGTTAGATAAGACAGGTCAGAAGATTTTAATGTCTCATCAAATTAGATCCATATCTTATTTTACCCCTTGGGATCAGCTTTCAAAGCACAGTCAAATCATTCGCTTATAGAAGCATCCCCTTCCCACCAACACACTCTCTCAAACATACCCAGAAATAGGGTCATGCCACACACAGCTACACTACAGAGAACAAACAGTCCCAAGGTATCTCTAGTTAGGAAGGCTTGATTTTTGAGTACAGTTTTCATTACCATGAAATTCCTTTAGGGTAAAAAAAGGATTGCATCAAAGAAGCAGTGTGGGGAGGCAGAGTCTGTAAAAGTCCACCCCATCACCTGTGCTACCAGACTCTGCCTGTCTTTAATTTGCCAGGAAGTGCATATTTTTATCTTCTTTGGGTTTTTGTTTCTCTTGTTGAGCCAACATATTATCTAAAGCTCTGTAAGCCAAAATGTTCCAACACTGTGTGTGTTTGTATATAAATATGTGTGTGTGTGGGGGGGGGTGTGTGTGTGAGAGAGAGATAGACAGAGAGACAGAAACAGAGAGAGACAGACAGAGAGAGAGAGACAAAGAGACAGAGAATGAGCGACAGAGAGAGAGCGAGCACTTAGTATTTGGATATTGGGGGGATGAGAAGGAAACATGGGATACTAGCAAAACTTTGGAAATGACCCTGTGAGGCTGGAAATGGACATGGATTGCAGTATTTTTCTTTGGAAGTATCAAAGAGGGCTTAGGGAGAGGGGAGAAAGAGAAGGGAGTGAGGGTGGGAGCTTAGTAAACACCTTATTAATTTGGGAGGCAGATGCCTTATCCATTAGGCCCACTGGGGCTTTTCATACCTTATTAATTTGGGTCTTGCCCTGCATTACCCTCTGTGGGCCAGGCCAGATCTATGCAATTCCTGCAACCACATCCCCAGCTGCCAGTTCCAAGATGGCTGACATACCTCCTTTGCTTGTATCATGAGGGGGTCTCTCAATCCTTATCAAGCTGGGTGAGTTTAAAGTATTTGCATCATCTGCAATTTAGGTTCAGGGTCTCAAAATCGTGTGGGTGTGGTATGTCTCCAAGAAAGAAAGGATGAGTGTAGGTTCTCTGGTACCTTGCTTTATAAGCGTAAGTAACTTGTGTACCTGAAAGTCCTCATCCAGAGCACATTTCATTTACTGTTCCTATTCTCAGGTCAGTGAAAAGATGGTGAAGTCATGTACCTTATACCATTTCAGGGATGCATTGTCTAACTTGGAGGTAATGTATGATCATTTTAGGTACCACCACAGATTCATTAGTCATATAATTTTCTATGAATTTTTAATGCATCCAAGTTCCTATGTATTTAACATACAATGCAATTGATCAGAAGGCTTCATAAAACTATGAAGAGTGACTCTGAAGTATTCTTCTGTGGCATTCTATTTTATTAACCAGCTCATGAGACTGTACTGCTCCGTCCAGTTGGAATTTCTGCTTTGACTTTCCATATCTCAGATGTTCCCACAATTAGGATGGCTTTTCTTGAAGGAAGTTCCTAACCTGAAGTCCCTAACTTGAAGTGTCCAAGCCAGCTCCCATTTTTTCTCTTCATGGTACTATCTTACTTCCTAGTTAGCCTGTTAAGTTTGATCAGTTATTCAGAAGAGTCCCAGCACTCACTTCTAGGGGATCCTCCTAGACCCAAGGTGGGGGCTAGTTGAGAAGAGTGGCCTGGTCAGCACATGTAGCCACCAACACTGACAAGGTACCAGTCATTTCTTTTGTGAGATTGCATGGCTTTGTGCCTCTACAATAGTGCTGCCATACTGATGTGGGGGATCTCGCATTCACAAGGGATAAAGACCCAAGAATTTTCACACTGGGCAATAAACAAACACCCATGATTCTAAACCTTCATCAGTAAATCACTATGCCTCACATGGCCCAATTTTTTAATAAAATCATTTATGTAAATAAGGCCCCTCAAAATATATTTGTCTAGGGCTCACACTTTCCAGGGATATTCCTGCCCTGGGGAATCATAGTAGGTTCTTGAACAGAGGCTGATATAGAACAGGGACTTGGAGCAGGGAGAAATCTGCAGCATTAACAAGGCTAAAAGGAGCCCATGTAGTGAACTGAAGGTACTTGAGGCTGAGATCATGGAATCTGGGTTCTCATCCTGGCTCTGCCACTTTCCTGCTGTGTTCTTGATCTGATCTCTTAATCTCTTTCTGTTCCAATCTCCTCCTCTGTAGAGTGATCTGGAAAATCAATAGGACTGTCTTAGACAGTGATTCCTAAACTGTCAGAAGACACAGAAAAGCCACTGGGGAAAAAATACTACTTCTAGGCACATTCCCCCATTTTTCAGATTTAGTAAGTCTGGGGTGGGCTTTGGAAATCTGTATTTTTTAAAAGCTACCAGCAGATTTTGCTATGCAGCAAGGACTGCTCCTCATTTCTCTTGGGAATATCCTGTTTCTAACTTTTGAGACTCTAATACAGGGCTGAGGCGATGGCGGTCTCTATGTAGTACAGATGGAGTCTATGGAGAAGTTAAGAAATATTTTGATGTAATGCCAGGGCTGATAAAAATGATGACTCATTTGTGTCACTAGGAGCCAGATACCCATTCTAAATGCTTAACACATATAGTTTCATCCTCACATCCACCCACTATGATTTTACAATCCCCAGATGAAGAAATGGAATTAAAGAAGGGTTGACTAACTGGTCATGGTTAAATGCTAATTGTGGCAACTTGGGTAGAGGAACTGAAGAAGTGGAAGGAGTCACAGCTGTCTCCATGTTTTTAAGACTGGAGGACAGGGAACACAGTTTGGATGGTTTTGTGGTTTATTTATTTGTATTGGTTTGTTTTCTTACTGGTTTTGGTGGTGGAAATGATGAGTATCTAATGAACTGCAACTAGTGATAGAAATGTGCTGGAGAGACTTGAAAATAACTCCTTGGAGAACAGATGCGCAGTTGGGCTAGAAGATTATGGATCTGGGAATCATCAGAGATGAGAGGTGTACAGTGATGTGGGTGGGAGAGACTGCTAACCTCCTGAATGGAGTGAGCAGTATGTCCTAAGAGTACCAGCCTGGGAGGGAGAACTGGGTGGGCAAACCTCCAGCATCAATTCAGCATCTAAAATCCCCAGCCACTTTTGAAGAGCTGTTCTATTATATAGTTTGGTCAGCAAGTCAGCTCCATATTTTCATCTACCAGAATGTTCAGATCAATACTCCCAGTCCTCATGATTTACTGAACCTGAATTTCTCTAACTGCTCCATTAACTCTTTGGAAAGGTTTCTCCCTCTGTTAGCACTGGATCATGATTTTCCATAAAATTTGCCCTTGAGCAAGCAATTCTCTCATCATTCTCACTAGGGAAATTGTCTTACATTTTTGCTCTCCCTCTCCATCCTTCCTCACTTTCTTAAGAGCACTGTTTCATGAACCTGCATTTTGCCTGCTAATTAGTGTTTTTGAATAAACACTTGCTATTGAGCTTGGAATCTGTGGGTTTTTTTTTGCTCATTCCAGTTAGTGAGTTCCTAATCCTTTATGTCAGTTAACATTTCCCCAACTTGGTTATTAAATTTAGGGTCCTATTGTCCCTCTGTTTGTGCAGTAGAGGCATTTTGGCATTAACGAGCTTGGTGCTGTGGCCCCCGTCTCTGCGTGCCCAGTCCTGTATTCATGTTCATGCTGTTGTTTCCCTACATGCTGGGCACAGATGGGTCTGGTGGCCAGAAAGATTATTTTAAAAGGTGAATTCACTCACAATGTGCCTCTTTGTTCCAGAGAATATTTTGTTCCTCTGATCCTCAGCTTCAGCACCATGAAAAAGCATTTGTCAAGCCCCTAATTGCCCAGAGTGCTACACTAAGCCCTCTATAAAGAGAGTTTCACTGCCACGGCAGGGCCAAGTGTGACAGAGCCAGTTCTGGGTGCAGAGGAAATTGCTGTGGCTTTAGCCCTCATCCACAGGCCTGCAATTTGACAAAAAAGTGATGTGATTTCCTCAGTGACGCCGAGTCCCTGATGGGAGCTGCAGGACATGCAGCAGAGGTGATGGTATAGTTAGATACCCCCAGAAATGAGGAAAGGGGAGCAAGCTATTTTATCCTCAGGAAGCCTGAAGGATGTGCTCCTGAGAGGAAACAACATCAGCAAGTGGCATCCTCTTCAATGGTTTGCCAGAAAGGGGACAATTGTCCCTGGTAGGCTTAGCATTTAGATATGAGCGAGCCAGCTAGGAGCCAATAATTGAGCTTGGGACAACACAAACACATGAATAAGCTTATAATGCATGATCACATAAAAGACTTATACAAAGAAGTACTCCAGCTGAGGTGCAAGGGACGCAGTGTGTGTGTGTGTGTGTGTGTGTGTGTGTGTGTGAGAGAGAGAGAGAGAGAGAGAGAGAGAGAGAGAGAATGTGAGTGTGTGTAGTGCAGAACACACACAATTGGTAATATATTGAGGGGCTTAGTCCATAATGTATTCAGGACAGTGTCTAACCTATAGGGAACTCTATATATGAGCCTGTTTGGTAAGAAAGTAAATTAATTAATTAATTAATTGTTCCACAATTATTTGTGGACAAGTTCAAGTAGGAAAGTTGGGGAAATACCAAAGTCAGTGGATTTTCTCTCCTATACCAGATCCACTGGGGCCAACCAGGAGGTTGCAGTTCAAGATTAGAAAAGGTTCAGTTACACAGAATGTCCCTGAAAGGCTGGCCCAGATCAACCTCATATAAGGACATGAATCATCTCCAGGTGTGTGACCCTGTGCAGTGTGGCACACCAAAACACTGATGATCCTCCTAGGTCAGTCCCTGAGGATGGAGGCAGTAGGGAAATGCTCATTTTGTAAGCTTTGTTGCAGGCCCTGGAATCTTAACTCTAAAGTCAGTGACCTCTGGGTCCAGGTATGTGTAGATGACTGTACTTTTAAAGGGTTCTTTAACCTAGGAATCTTATGAAGATCAAAGAATTTTTTAAAAAGGTTTGAACTTGTTCTTTGTCCTAAAATTGTACAAACACATGGATTTTGGCATCAGGGTGCCTTCTCTCCTTGGGTAGGAACTTCTGGAAACTTCACCAGTCCTGTCCAATGCTCCATTGTATGTGTGTTGTTTGTGTCTCAGGCTTATTTGCCTGATTTTGTGGACTTTGTTTCTTGGTCCTCCCTCAACTGCCAAAGTTCTGGGTCCTTGCTCACTAATGGTGGGCACTGGAGCAGAATGATTTGTCTCTCTAAATACCTAACCTGAGCCCTCATGGTGTGAGTTTGCTCTGGCATCTGTATTCTTTCCAATACTGTGGCCACAGGCCATTTTTAATGCCCCTTAGGAGCTAGTTGGAGTCAGATTTCTGGATTGGGCAGCCCTGACATCCTTTCTTTATTGTGTTGGGAAACATTCCCCAGGCAGCAGGAGTTTGGGGAATTACCACTTACAATTCAGTGGCCAATGACAGATGACTTCCAGGACCTGACACTCCTAGGATGGACAAGAGTCTTTGGTGTCCAAGCGTCCTTGATGTCCTGCTTCAATTACCTACGAATTTAGAAAAGATCATCATCATCTGAGAGCACAGAATTGGTGATTCCTGTTCAGCCCTGTAGCAGACACTCCATAAACATCTATCAAGTTCATCAACTGGTTTGTCTTGTCCTCATACAAACATGAGCTTTGGAATGATGGGGGGTGGTGTGTATGTGTGTGTGTGTGTGTGTGTGTGTTTAGCTAATACAGGAAGCTTCTCTGTGTGAATTCTCTGCTATCACCAATCCTTGCATCTATTTTTTTTCTGGTTTAAAATTCACCTCCCTATAGATTTCTTGGATGCATTCTGACACGTTTTAATGACTTTTGTATTTTTTTAATTAAAAAAATTTAGTTAAATGTTTTTTTGATATTTTTAATTTCCTATGTATTGAATAGTATGATGTTTATCACTTAATAAGGTTGCGATGAGTGCATGTGACTTAGTGATAAACCCAATAAACGCTATTGATGACACTAGTGAGCCATCAAACTAACAAGTAATTTTGTGAAGTAAAGCCAGTTATCCTATAAATGACAGTGAAAGCGGAAGACTAGCTCTATCAATTCTCCTTAATTGCAGAAACATAGGAAGTGGCATATTAATGTAACAATTCCTAGAAATGATATTGGTAGAGATAACTCAGTAATTTTGTAGAGAAATACCCTGTATCTGCTAAATCCTTTCTTTGGAATTCCCCCTTGTTCTCTAATAGGCAATATGTATTTCTTTTAATCTTTCAATTACCTGAAAGGAAGTATCACAACCAGGGTATGAAGGCATTTGCTAACAATTGCTTGAGAATAAATATGAGGTGAGAAAATGTGCTGCAAAATTCACCACCACGCAGGGCTAGAGTCTGTGAACCTTCGGGAGAAGTAGTATTCTGAGGAAAGGCACAACCTGTGTTTTCCTGACACCTGGAGAACCAGCACCCAAAAAGGGCGCTCAGATGTTTATGGAGTAAGTAGATGGATATTTTAATTAGCTTGGATACCATCTTTCTGGTGCCTTTGAATATGATATGGAATGTGATCTCACTTAGGACAGAAGAGAATGATAAAGCCACAGTAAGTTTTGTGCTGCTATTTTTAAAATATCATAATTTAGCTCTGTATGTGGCACAATTAAAAATTTTAAAATTTGTACTGTTAGTAGAAACCACATATCGCTGCTTTGAACCCAATTAATTCTAATAGTAATCCTGTGAGTAGATATTCCCATTTTATAAGTGGAGAAGCTGAGGCACAGTGAAGCTGTGATTTTTCCAGGGCTAAGTGGCACAGATGAAATTTGCATCCAGGCAATCTTGCTCAGGAATCCTTGCTATTGGCCATGCTAATAGCTGGTAAGAATCTTTTTATACCAACGAATGAAGATAGGGATTGGTTTCATACTTGGGCATAAAATAAATGACTATTTGTCTCTTTAGGTATATCAATAATACAACAGAGATAAATTGGAAAGGACCAGGGATACCCAAAGTACTTGTTAAAAGTGATTTTTAAAAATCCGGAAAACATCAAAAACAGAAAGGAACAATGGTTGTTTATAATCTTCCAACCCTTAATGTAGGAATTTGCACATATTTTTAGGTTGAAGATAAAATATGCTAGCAAATGGACAAAGAAGAATTGAGCATCCAGGAAAGGCTTAAATTGGTGATCCTCTTAGGAGATAATAACCTAGACACATTGTTCATTATAGGTGAGGTAAAATTGCAGAATACGATCTTTGAATTAACCAGGAAGTTAATACATCTTTTAGAACTGATAAATTTCTGAACACAGTAATCAGCAATAAGGGACAAAGAGACCATTAGAGCTGCCACTTTAGAATTTCATTAAGCCCCTTCCTGGAGGCAGTCTGTAGCCAATGAGTGACAAGTGGGGATGCAAAGACCTTGCCTCAGTAACTTCTCTTGGGCCAACACTGTAGGGTCATCCCAGCTTAACAGTGTCATTGCGGGTCAGTGAAGTGTTTCGTTATAACTTCCTTAGAAAATACAAGAAAAAGATAGTTTTGATAAACATGAAGTTTTTTTGCAATACTTTTTAGTACGTTTTACAAGAAAGCTACAAGGAATGAATATTTATAAAAGTTTAATAAAAATCTGGGAGGATTCAACCTGGAAAATTATGCATAGATAAGCTTTAGTACATCCTATTATTTAATGGGGGAAATTGCAAGTATTCTACATATTATTTTTGATCTTTTAAATCTCTAAGTTGTTTCTGATAATACCTTTGATTTCAGTTTAATAACCAAAGACCTTTTCAAAATAATGCTGCCAAATCTCAGGTGTATATGCTAAAGGAGATGGCAAGCTTGAAAAACAAAAATTATCCTCTCAGTGGAACTAAGGCCAATTTAGAATGAAGCAGGGCCTGTTGGAATTAAACATGTAGCTGTGACAAAGAATGCAAGTTGTCGGTTTGATGAGTCAATGGTGTAGTGTGTTTCTGTTCTTGGGGTATAGGTGCAAGGTAGTGCCTGCAGCTTCCTGTTCTGCCCACAGATTTTCCTGAAATTCAGAAACTGGTTGCCTTGGGGTATGTTCCCATCCCGAGAGTGTGCTGTTGAAGCAACTGGAATACTCTCCCGAAGAACATATTTTCTTCCTGGAGTTCCTTACTGGTCACTGATTTCATTGACACATGAGAAACACAATGGCAGCTCTGGGTGTGGTAGATAGTGCAGTGTGCCCAGTTCCTAAGCACTCCTGCTTCATTCTAACATGTTCATTCCCCTTGCTGCTGGGAGTGATGGCTAACAGCTTTGGGCTGAAATTGCCATCAAGTGAAGAGGGCCATTTACCCCTTCCTGGAGGCAGTCTACACCCAATGACAAGTGGAGAGGCAAAGACCTTGCCTCAGAGCTTCTCTTGGGACATCACTCCAGGGTCATCCGAGCTTAACAGTGTCATTGTGGGTCAGTGAAGTGTTTTGTTATAACTGAATGCTGTCTAGCTTCTCCTGCCCAACCACTTCTTTCATGCTTCCCCAACTGTGGTTTCTAAAAGTTCCCAATAAACTTCCTATAATTCAGTCTGCTTTAGGGGGACTTGATCTGTAACTGCTGGCAATATATTCTGGATGCTGCAGGATAGAGATCCACTTTGGAGCAAAATTTGTACCAACTTTCATAAATTCTTTGGACAAGGTGACATTTTTCTTATTTGTTTAACTCATTCCCTAATCCCTTCCTCTCTCAACTCCTCTATCCTTGATTAATTCCTAATTCACATATAGGGTTAAAAAACCAGTTTTTATTTTCTAATGGAAGATATTTAAAATATCATTTTTTGATGGAAGACATAATTTGTTTAATGTAAAAAATACAAATATTAGAGAAATCTGTATCCATGAATGAGTTGCCACTAGGTATGACTAGGTGGCTAGCCATCACTTACCAGAGTACCCAAATCTCTGCACCCTGGTACAACTTTAAGCACTGGATAATTCTTATTTATAGATAACATTTACATCTTGAATAATATATCTGAAGTTAAATGGGAATTGGCCATAGGAATAATAATTCTATTTGGAATTTATTGCAGAAGTACTTTCCATCCATTATACTGATTTATCTCCCAACATCTGGAGCTATCTTGGCCATGTTAGCCCCATTTTATAGATGGAGAATAATTTGCTGATGACTCTGGGGTTTGGGGAAATTTCTGTCTGATGAACTCTAATTTTTATGAGCAATCAATGGTCTCAAGCCCATCATTCAAAGAAAATACCCAGAAGAGACTTGACATTTTATAAAACTGCACATTCTGAAGGCCCTGTCACTGAAAGAAGGATGTAAGCTCAGGATCAAAGCATCATCTTCAAAGACGGGTGAGGCACTTGTTAAATAACTCCTGGCAACTGCTTAAGCACTAAGCATTGTAATTGCAGAGAGCAGGAGCAGAACTAAAAATAGAAACGTGGATAGGGACAGGACCAAAGACATCATTGTCACTCAAACTTGAATGTCACTTTTTGACAGCATTTGAGCAATTGATTCTTGGTTTTCCATGCTAGGAATTCAGCAGTCACGCTCTGCTGTGACAGCCCTAGGAGATGGGAAGGGGCAGGACCCTGTAGGAGCCCTGACTGGGAGGAGTATAAAGAGTGGAGGGTAAGAATTATTATCAGCCTTTGCTGCCTCTTTTCTAGTCAGGGTTCCTTTGAAGGCAAAAATCAGAAAGCCCCTCAAGCTAGCTCCAATCTATTGAAATGTTAAAGGGGAATTTTGGGGGCAGGAAGTATTAACTAGAATCTGCATAGTGAAATATTTACCTCAGAACCAGAAAGTCACCAATGAGCTAAGACATTCTCTCCATTTCCAGGGGCTGTATGATCTCTATCTCTGGACATCTCCTCCACTGTCCTTTCTCCTAAGCCAACTTCCTCTGCATGCTTGTCCTGCTTACTTCATTCAATGCAGAGGCCATCCAGCTCTACACCATGATCCCAAGCTCTAGTAGTCACCACCCATTAGCCACAGTCTCTAAGGCTCTTCAGGCAAATTCTCACATGGGAGAGACTTACCAAGCCATATATGTTTTTCTGATAATGGAGCGGCTGCTTTGGGTGGGGTGAGAGTCATAGCATTAGAGGGATGAAGAATAAATTCTCTAGAAGGGGCTATGGGTGGGGTAGATGACAAGCCCTGTTTATTGTATCATTGGTTATCCATTTCCATCGTGTTCTGCATCTTACTCCATGATGTAGTCTAGGATAGATAAAAGGTTGGGTAATCATAACAGTGAATCACTGGGTAGAGTGTGGTATCAGCTGTAAATGGGTTTAGAATCCGTTTGATGCGATACAACACAACCCCAAGCAAAGAAAGCAAGTCTTTCCAGGCAGTGCCTATGGACATTAGATGACTGGCACAGACATTGGGTATTTTAAAGATTTAGAGGAAAGAGAGATGATTGGGGGTAAGAAGTTCAAGAAGGATTTCCCAAGAGAAGTGGGGATGAAAGTGAATCTTGAGGGAGGGAAGGATTTGGAGA